GACTATTGAGGGCGTTGAAATGAAATCTTGTCATTATTAAGTGAGACATTCAGGATTGAAGCTAGGATGCTATTCAGAATGGAAATCCTCTAAATCTAGTTGGTTCATTTTTTTCCTTTGAAAATACACTGAGGCCACGCACATTGGTGAATGCAAGTAACTAATCTTCAGATTATCAGTATGCGATGTGAAACCAAACTGTTAATGTGTACACTGTATACTGTTAGTGTAATAAAATCGCCATTTGAAGCAAGCCTTTAGGTTATACGGCTATTATACATAAGACTCGGAGATCCAAGTGAAAATTGAACAAATTAGCAGTCAAATCCAGTCGTTACTTTGATAAAGAAACATGCAGTCATATCCCAGAGAGTAAGAATGAAAATCCGGATACCGGATAAACATAAATCCACTTCCTTGAATAGTCCAGGAATCGATTAACCTGATGTTTAGAAGTTTAATTTTAGACTTCAAGGCATCTAGGAGTTTAATGACACGCCATTTATCGTTAACTAAATTGAACAGATTTGGTCATATGCATTATTAATTTACGCTCATACGTACGCATACGAGTAAATACTTCATATGGTTACGTCCTAATGTGCGTAGTTCTTTCTAGACACATTCAAAATAGCTGCAAGCACCAATTATGGCGACCTATAAACTAACAAACAAAACAACTTGTTTTCAGACTAAAAGTGACCTGATTTTTTCACTTAATTGTATAACGCTATCGATCCGTTTCCATGCTAAATATGTAGCTGTAACGATCCATACGAAAAGTATGACAGCATTAACCCGAAGCTATCTTTCCAGAAATAAAACAAGAAATACTATTTCATTAGAATGGGAACCAGTTCTATACTGTGACATCCTTAATGTTTGCAGGATGGAAGTCGATCACCTAGACACTCATTTATTGTGGATACCTTTTTACAATCTGACAATCGCCTATAACAGATGAGTCGTTGTTTAAACGGAAATTGAGCAGGAGCAATAATATGCATAAGATATAATTAATTCACGCAGTAGACGCCCAACTTCGAGATCAACAGGCTGGATTCCGTAAGGATCGGTCATGCACAAACCAAATTGCGACACCACGGATCATCGTTGAACATTCAGTTGAGTGAAATTAGTCACTATACATCAATTTCATTGACTATGAGAAGGCGTTTGGCAGTGTGAACCGGAAAACATTATGGAAACTTTTTCGACACTATGGAGTTCCTCAGAAGATTGTCAACATTATCCGGAACTCATACGAAGGACTACAGTGCACAGTCGTGCATGGAGGACAGCTGACAGATGCATTCCAAATGAGGATCGGAGTCAGACAAGGCTGTCTACTTTCCCCCTTCCTCTTTCTTCTGGTGATTGACTGGATTATAAAGACTTCGACATCTGAGGGGAAGCATGGAATACAATGGACATCTCAGAACCAATTAGACAATTTGGACTTCGCAGATGACCTAGCCCTCCTATCTCATACACACGAACAAATACAGATGAAGACAGCAAATGTAACAGCAGCCTCTGCCTCAATAGGCCTCAACATACACAAAGTAAAAAGTAAGATTCTCAAATACAACACGGAGAACGCCAAGCCAGTCACACTTGATGGCGAAACTCTGGAAGATGTAGAAACATTCACGTACCTGCGAAGCATCATCGATGAACAAGGAGGATCTGATGCAGATGTAAAGGCGAGGATTGGCAAAGCAAGGACCGCATTTCTACAATTGAAGAACATATGGGACTCAAAACACCTGTCAACTAACTTCAAAGTGAGAATCTTCAATACGAACGTCAAGACAGTCCTACTGTATAGATCTGAAACGTGGAGAACTACTACATGCAACGTCAAGAAGGTACAAGTATCTATAAACAGTTGTCTACGCAAAATACTCAACATTCATTGGCCGGATACTATCAGCAACAGCGTTTTATGGGAGAGGACAAATCAGCTTCCATCTGAAGAGGAAATTAGGAAAAGACATTGGAAGTGGATCGGACACAGATTGAGGAAATCACCAAACTGCATCACGAGGCAATCCCTGACTTGGAATCCGGAAGGGAAGTGGAAAAGAGAAAGGCCAAAGAACACATTACGCTGGGAAATAGAAGCAGATATGAAAAGGATTAATGTTAACTGGAAAGGATTGCCCAGGACAGGGTTGGATGGAGAATGCCGGTGTGCGGCCTATGCTCCTCCACGAGGGGTAACAGGGGTAAGTAATAATTAATTCACTATATTCTATCTTAGTTGCACAAAAGTCACTTGATATTAACACAACTTAGCAGTGGAAACTAGCTAGTCTATTTAGAGTGAGAAATTCTCTCGAAAAGATAACAGATTACGTCAGAAAAAAAATGTCTCACTTTATGGGAATATATGTATTCGTTTGAATAGTTTCTAAATTTAATTAGCTGTTTGACATTTTAAGTGGAAAACTTAAGTTAGCAAACAATATGTCCTGAGCACTGAACATACAATGAACAGAGACAAACTACTGAAGTGTCATCTATTCCCTCAAAAGTGGACTGTAAGAAAGTTACGTTGGGGTTAGCAAACAGTAGCTTGCAAACAAATAGAAATTTAGTCTGAGCTAGATTTCCGTCTTGCTTATTGGGCTTGCGATATTTTTCTCTCAAATAAATCGGTAACTGCCGGCTGAGAAGCACATTGATTATACCCTAATCTACATAGATGATCAGGATGTATTGGTCAGATAAGGTTGATTGATACGGTGGTGTCTACAAAAAAAGCGATAGATGCAACTGTTAACAGGAGGCAACCAAGATGGAATCAGCAGTCACGCAGAAATAATTGCCATTTTAAGGAATTACACTTAGCTCGGGAGACACTATTTACACAATATAGCTTAAGATCTTCCGAAAGCGTTTAAAATTCTTGGCAAGGTACTACTGTGCAATCTAATTGGATTGTCTTATTTTTCCTAACCCATCGGTAACGACCAACTAACCCGCTGACCAAACTGAACTATGGGGACTTAAGATTTGCTTGCTGAAAGTCAAGCACTTCAATTAATAAGTCACCACTTTCAACGAGCGACTCAAGGTTCTGTCGTGGTGTGATGTATTCATGGTTTTATAGCTGATGGTTTACATTCCAACAGGATAGACTTTCTTTACAACCCACACTGATTAATTAAAATTATTGTTAAGAAAACCAGGAATTTCGACGCACAATGCCGACAACATTCCCGTTATTTTAACTACGAACATTCTGCAGGTAGCGCATCTTGTCACAGCGGTATTACGTTGCTGATACGCATCTGACATTTGTCGAGCAAAACACAGAGAAATTCACCGTGTTATCTACTTTAGAGTAAGTGCACATAAGATGAAACTAAATGAATTTATTGTACAGACAGTATGATTACTCTTCTGTAGTGATTAACTTGAAACGCTGTCTTGACAATTACATGTGGTATATATAGAAAAGTAACTTGTCTCATAACTCCGCCTGTAGCTCCTCTAGGGGTTACTGCCGGTCCCAAGCCCGGGTAAAGGAGGAGGGTTGGGCATGGGGTTAGCGACCCCATCCCGTAGAAAATCAACTCGCTAAAAAACGCTAACCAGAAAAATTCATTCAAACCTTTCAAACTCTGCCCTGGGAGTAGAAGGAATAATTATGACGTCTCATGATGAAAGCCGAGTTCCTTCGGAAGAAATACCATTAGCTAAAGAACACACCAGGTAGTCGGGTGACAGGTTTCAAGCTATTGGTAAATAAGTATACATGGAGAGGTATACGCAATAGTCAGTCTTAACAGGAAATAAAATACAGAGCAATGCAACACGACTGGGACAATTCAAGACGAAAACTACTCACGGAGGAAGTCTAGGCAGATACCTCAACAACTACAACTCTTACAAATATGGTTCAGTCGAGCATTTACATTTGGGTTACAAATAACAAGAATATTACTTGGCGTTCTGAGCCACTAGTCAATCAAATAATGGTTGGTAATAGAGCTGTTTGTTGAGATATAGCAGAAGTATTTCAAATTCCACCAGATACTTGATGGCAACCTAGGTTTAGGGTTTGTGATGTTTAGGACAACGGATCAGGTTGGTTATAACAGTATATGTTCAAAATACCTCGAGGTGATTCGAAGTACGCAGGAAAGTTAGGAACAAGAAGACCCGTTTTATAACAAGTCCAAGTCGCTGGCCTTTTACACAAGTAAATAGTTTAATCCGGCTTTCTTGGTGGCAGTGAACTAGGCTGATTTCCACTGAATCGCTTAAGTCGTTTTGTGAGACAAGTCCACCAATCCCCTAGGCACTGCGATGTGTCGGATTTTCCACTGCCACACAAATTCAGTTCATAATAGTAGGCGAAACTACATTGTCAAACAAATAAGGGTTAAAAAGTACGTTTCACAACAACGACAAGTAAAACACTCACTAAATATCACAAAAACACCAGATAATGGCATTGGTAAATGAAAGTATTCATGGCCAGTACACTGCTTCGAGCCAAAACTAAATCAGATGTAACTGGAGAAGTAACACTAATTGATCTAAACCAAACAGAAGTAAACAAGGCAATATTCCAGCTCACTCCTGTGAATATACGAAGCATAGCATATGGTAAACAGGTGTGTCAATTATTTTCCAGACTAGATAACCTTGGAACAAAAGCTAGTTGTAAATTGACTTTGTATATTTTGCTACACTTAACAGGCAGAATGCTTGAAAACAAAGTTAGAAAGCTGACTGATTATAGTAATTTATTCTCAATAAATATAAGTTACATGAGGCATGCCCTATTTTAGTATCAAGGCAAAAATAAATGGCAAATATTTCCGTGGAATGGATTGTCTTGTTGGCAAACAAAAAATATGATTGTTAAAGAAACACGCAGCCGATAGAAGCAGCAATTTAAGGTCCTGAGGAAGAATTAGGAGGGGAATGTATGTTTCGGAGACCGGAAAATCAAATTTAGACAATTTAGAGAACAGTGGAGATCAAATTAAATCACACCTCCTCCTCTTCTTCTTCGCTGAATTCAAGGCGGCTCGAGTAGCTGCTACGAAAACATCGCTGACTCCTTCCTTGGTCTTAGCTAAAGAAGGCTAGACATAAGTAAAGACAGTACCTGAACACTCAAAGAAGGCATAAGCAGAAATCTTTTCAGCTACTTGTTTACCCTCGTTAAAAGTGACGGGAAGTTGTTTGGTTCTATGTAGCTCATTCTTTGTAGCCTCGTCATGTCGTAAGTCTTTTTTGTTTCCAACTAAGACAATGGGAACATCAGGACAAAAATGACGGATCTATAATAGGATTTATGAACTCGCGGTATCTACTTCTGGTAACCATTTTTCCTCAATGTTTGCAAAACTATCGGGAGAATCAATACTATAACATAACAGAACTACATCCGTGTCAGGATAAGAAAGTGGCCGTAGCCTATCATAATCTTCTTGACCAGCAGTGTCCCAGAGAGCTAATTCAACCTAACACATATAGTAAGTACTTATACACCTACTTGTCTGTTATCAACTTCGATATCTGCAACATAGTTTTCGAATACAGTAGGAACGTAAACTTCGGGAAACTGGTCTTTGCTGAATACAATAAGTAAGCAAGTTTTCCCGCATGCACCATCTCCAACAATAACAAGTTTCTTGCGTACCGCACTCGCCATTGTTGCGGCCCACAACACACGAACTGACCGCGAGTATTCAATTTCGGTTTCAGTTTTGAGATAGTAGAAGACTGAACGTTTTAGGAGTTGTATTACACTTTATGAGCATGTTTTTCATATGAAAAAAGTGTCTAGAATGAGGAAGGACATCCATTCAGTGAACGAAAGAAACCTTTGAAAGACCTTACGAATCAGACATTGAATTCATGCATTAAGAATCGTAGAACTCATGTCAGTTAACACTCCAATTTATTTGTTTGCTACGCGACACTTGTCCATAAACAACAATCTCTTCTCCAATTTTTACACGATATTTGTTAATAATATCTCTCACAATATTAAAAATTTAAAAGTTGCTCAATATTGCAGAAACTGCATAGCTTGTACTCATCGTAAGATTCTGGAGTGTTGTCTTCGTTGTTATCCAATGGAACTGGAAAATCGGAAATCAGGCAGCTAATTCTCGAAAGTAAGAATTTGAGGGAATAGTCCATGGTTTAATGTAGAGTGAAATGATAAGTGAAGAAATGAGAGGAAGAGTTAGATCGGAATAACTTACCGATCCTCCTTCACATCCATTGCCAGCCTATGTGTATCTACATCTATTAAGAACCACATTTGCTAATGGTTGGCGTTTCTGAGTGTCTATTTTGCCGATGTAGACGATTGTGTATTTTTTGTTGGTGACACGACTGATGAGATTGATATATGCATGGCGAAGGCCAGAGTGGCCTGTGTCAATTCGGGTCACCACTGATGTCTTCGTGATGTTATTCTGGCTGTTAAGCGTCGGGTGTGAAATGTGTCGGCGAGATATGTTTTGCTCCATGCTTGAGAAGTCTGTAGTCTCTGAGTTGAGTACGTTACGTAACTTTTGTGCTTGGTCATCGTTGTCTCCAAATTGTTGACTATATTTATCAAAATGCCATGCTAGTAATGCAGTTGCTGGTAATGTGTGTTTTGGCACAGTGACGATAGTTCAGTTGGTGTCATTATCTTAAACCATCGACAATGGTGGTTCGGATATATGCTACAAATATCGTGCATGTGAATTCTCTATCACGCATCATATGCTTACGCTTTAACTGGTTGGCAAAAATAGGGAGGTGAATTAGTTATGACATGTTTCTTGGATTGTAGCGAAATAGGTACTTAGCAGGCTTCTACCAGTCGATCACAATCATCCATTTTGGTGTCCTAGAATATGTAAAACGTAGTGGCTTTGGAAATTATTGTAGAGGAATCACAAAAAAAGCAGTTTTCAATCCTACACTATTTGCCCTTTACTTACTGAACAAAAAATCATGAGACCTTTTCTACTGAAATGATTTTTTCTGGTTATATTACTCTTGTCACATGACTACGTTGGTATCCACTTGTACTAGTATCTGTGTTTAAGTAAATAGACATCAAACAATCAATTGTCCCATTATACTGTTTACCATCACAAAATAGTAATCCTCCTTTAATAGTAGCAATGTAAATGAAATATTGTATTCCAGTAGTGTGTTAATTGATTCACTGCATTTACGTTATCTATTTATAGAATTATGAGATTAACACAAATGCAGTAGTGTCATGAAAGACAATGAACATTCTATAAGCGCTAACGTTGCATTTCAAATATGGATATGTAATTAGCTGACAGGAAGTGGGAGTTTGTTTTCTTATACTCATCAATATTTTTCATACGTTAAAGTACATAGTATTCGTTTCCGTTATCACTCACTTCTATTGCTGTGCTACGCTACAGTTGTCTGAATATAGCAAGTGTTACTTGCGATTTGTCGGTGTATAAATTGTGCAAAAAGTGGTCTTTAGGTCATTTTTACCTATATATTCAGAGGGTTTTGGGAGGTTTCGAAGCTTTATTCACACACTTAATCTTATGCAATCCCTAACCTATGCGAAATGAACCATCAATGATAGAATTCCAAAGTTCTTAAGTCAAGCGTAATTGAATTAGCCCTAACCTGTATTATTGGATAAAGTATATTGAGAACGAATAAAGTGACCTTATCCGGAATGACTCCACAAATTCAAGATCATGAATGATTAGATGTATGAATTTCTCTGTTTTGTTATCTCGGTCGCTAGGTGGAAACGCGGGATTATCATTCTATATGACGAGTTAAGACTGTAAATAAGATGTTGATAATCAAACGAGTTGAATGAGTGTAATAAAAATCCAGTGTGTCATGCATTTACTAACTATACTTGTTGTCAAATACCCTCATAGCATACGGGTTACTTTCGCTGTGATTATTGTTCAAGAAATGTCTTTTTATATATTATTATTCTGAAGAAACATTTAGTAGTTCCTTTAAAATTGCAAATGTACACAACATTCGTCAATGGTTGCATAATATCCACCTCGTTCAAAGAGGTCCTGTAGTATTTAAAAGAATAATAATTTGATTTTAAAGAAAAAACGGAACATGCTTTAAAAATTAAATAAGTACGTTTGAAAAACGGAATAAGAATGAATGATAATATACGTATTCCAAAAAGTACTTAAAATGAATCCATAACGTACTAATATTTGACAGCAGAATCAGAGTTAACCCAGTAATCGTTTAGGATGATACAATGAATACCGAATTGATTCTAGTGAATGATCACGAAATATCAATTTGTTGGAGTCATGTATACATAGTGAAGACAAAATGAATTTGAAAATTTAACTAAATGCAGTATGTGCACAACAAGATTTTGTGTTTTTAATTACAAACTGTGGATGGTTAAAGGTGATATCTACCTAGAGGAAAAAAGGAAAGAGTAAAAGATACCTAGTGTTTCGGTGGGTCAATATTGACGGTACTAATGACTATCAAAAATGGGCATAAGCTGACTTTCGATATCTGCATGAAAAAAGGTCGAATGTTCTACTTTGCTTTCCGGTCAAGTAAATAGATACGGGACCTTGATATATAAATCCTTGGTTATCAAACCGATATTTAATAGGTGAAACAAACTTCTTTCGGAAAGTCATCGATAAGATACTTGAATAGGGATACAGTTTTACTGCAACAGAAGCTTACTGAGAGTATGTTCAACATAATTGAATAAACAAGAAGGAAGAAATCTTGCTATAAATTTGTGTAGTTACTCTCAATTGATATATTAAGCTCCTCATTGTACTGATCATGAGATGATATAATAGACTATTAAGAAGGGATTTCGAAGAGTACGAAAAAAGTTGATAAACAGGCAAATGAAAACAAGGTTTAACATTATATGTTTGGTCCATTGGGGAATAAAATTCCACAGGTGTTCGAAGTTTGACAACACCTTAACTGGCAACATCTATAATCGAAACGTTCCCACCCAGTTAAATCAGAGGAGAAGACTTTCGAAGATATATTTGATAGGATATCGATATATCGGGATGTGATTAGTCTAAGCTAGATAGCGTTTGTAAGAGATGCGTAGCGTGGTGTACCCACTCGTGATCTGATACGGGCGCGTTGTAGTGTACCTTCATCTAGATATGTCTATTAAAGCCAGTGCGGTCATCACCAATGTTGAAGACTTAAATGTTTACTTATTTTGGGAACGTATTTACCGCTACAGCTCATTCCCCCTCATCGTAGGGTATTGACAGCCCTAAGACGTGGCTAGACAGTAGTTTAAATCCTGTGAACTTGTCGTTGGCAAGCACTCTTCTGATGGCTTGCTATGTTCAGCAGCACCCGGTCGTCCTTCCTGAATATAAGGAGCCATGTGATACCACATAGCAGTGAACAGCAAAACATGTGATGAAAATTTTTATTCTCCACATTCTTTGTTGGTTCTTCGTCTTTTACGGTTTTCCTGGGAAAGGAAAGAATGAAGCTCTAAATGCATGTAAAATACACTCGTATATGCATGTGGACAGAAAGCGGACGATAAATGGAAAGTAAACCTATTTAAATGCGTTTTGTCAACATATAATAAAGTGAAAACACAATTTTCATACAACTAGTTTTCTGCATGTCTTTCGGAAAAAAACAAAACCATATTCTCATATGAATGAACATATTATAGAAGTGTTTGTTCTTAGCCTTCTTATCACAGTAATGCAAGCAAACGGGACAAAACAAAACGTCATGAAGTGTTCTACGGGCAGTAATCGTCCAAGTGTTCAGGATGTTTTTCCTTCCTTTCAGAACGCGTTGTTATAGCTCGATTATCAGAAACCACTGGAGCGTCGTCGTGATTGTTGATTATGTAGAACGGTATTATAATTATGAAGCTTTTACTAAAGGAAAATCTACATGGTCGGGGCCCGCTTTTAAATACGCGGCTGATACTGGTGCTACCGTCAGTTCCGTTGCTATCGATGATATAGTATTTAGGTTCACGCTGAAGAACTTTGAAGAGCCCTTCGTATGCCATTTCAAGAGGTCATTGAAGTGAGCCGCGACGTGCAAAGACGTGTGTACTATGTCGTTGGTCAGGTTGAACAAAAACATCGGTAGATTGTGGTCGACTGGAAACAGGCTTAACTGGACGCATTGCGTTTGTAGGCCTGTTGGTGTAAGAGTTTTGATCCATGTTCATTGAAGAAGATGAAAATTGACGAATTCTCCTGGAAGTCGAAGTGTCGTTCCATAAGGGAGTGTATTTAATGTCAGCTTTCACTGCATCGCGAATACCGAGTAAAAGGTGAGCAAGAGCGTTGGACCACTATGAAATGTTTGCAGCTGTTAGTGAAGCTTTAGTTGTTGGTGAATGCGTTCTACCAACCTGTTTGCTTGTGTGTGGTAGGCGGTGGTTCGGAAAATTTCACATTCGAACTGGCGTCCAAGGTTCGTAGTGATAGTTATAGGGTAGCCGAAATTTGTTACCCATCGTTCGACAAAGGGAGGGGCCACTGTTCCAGCAGTAAAGCCCTTGATGGCTACTGCCTGTGACAGTCGTGTGAAACGGTCTACACAAGTTAAGAGATAGGAACCTGGCAAGTGTCCAACCGAATCCGGATAAACATGGTCACAACGAGCGTAGAGAGTTCTGTTAGG